TCCAGAATCTAAAAGGATTGAATGGTACGTAAATCTGTTTTGATCACCAGAAAACATGGGAACGTAGCTCCTGAAACTGTTCCACTGTCTTGTGGATCAAACTTCGAGACGAAGGTTCGGGAGTGGAGAGTCTCTTAAGACAACCACCTGATTCGGCCTGAGCGTTTGAGGAGTATCTCAACCCTCGCATCAATGGTGAAACAACAATTATATGCGAAACTATAATCACGTGCTCAGTATTTCCTGAATACATCTGTATTTCACAAAAATAAGCAAAAACTTTGGAGTAATGGGAAGAAGTATATCGGTTGCACAGCGGTTAGGACGCTTGCCGACCATGCACATGGTCCGGAGTTCGATCCACGGCCGACTCACTCCTTTACCTCACTAAGCCACAAATAATGCTGGTAAAGAGGAAAGGTTGAGCATAGGGCTAGCAACCCCATCCTGTAAGAAATAAACACTACTACAGAAACTTCAAGCCACTAGCTTGAAGCCCTATGTTCCACTGGGAACGTGAAAGAAAAAAAAGGGACGAGATTAATGTACAGGTCAAATCAAGAATATTTCGTATGATTAAATAATTCCATATTAGTTTGATTATTAAATGTATCACACAGTGAAACAGTATTGTATACTGGATGACGTTTCGAACACAATTTATTGTTCATAATCATATCAAAAAAAAATTCATATGATTATGAACAATAAATTGTGTTCGAAACGTCATCCAGTATACAATACTGTTTCACTGTGTGATACATTTAATAATCAAACTAATATGGGCAAAGTTAAACTTTCGACACCGCTAACAACCAATCAGCAAACAACTTTGAACGGACCAATCACATTAAAAAGGCATATATGATGAATGGAAATGTATATTTATAGAAAAAAAGCATAAAATAGAGAATAAAAAAGTTACATGGGATATCTTTCTCGAACATGTGAGAAAAACATCTCCCAGTTTAGCATGGGACTGTCAATGGAGAAGTTACACCACATCCTGTACATATATTCATCCAAATGACCATAAATGAGATCCATTTATAGCCCTTATCCTATTTTTCAACCTGCCCCAAAATCCTTGAATAGAATTTGTATGTGTCCTCGTAACGGGATCCACAAAATCACTTGAATGATTGACTCTATGATGAATATATCCCAGAGATGACAGTGAATTGTAGCCTTTCCACTCGTCGGTGTGTATAATTGACCCCCGCTTAACAAGTCTGGTAATAATAGGTATAAGAGTAGTTGCTTTTCTATCTGCTATCCTTAGGGAGAGAAGCGACCTAGCGAAAAAAGTTCCTACGAAATATTAAAATTATCAGCTTACTCTCTCTAGCATTAGTAGGCTTCAAATATAGAGCACAACGATGAACAAACCCATCAATTGATTTGGTATAGCTTTTTAAAGTCATGATACCACCACACAAACAAATTCGCTCTTTCCGGCGCAAGTGAAATCCAGGAAACACTGGAAAACGCTAACCTCCTCGAATTGCAACAATAGCTTTGTAAGGTCACGCATTAGAAATGAATCAGGCGCAATACAACATTGAACTGCGTTCGTTAACCTCATTGGATAATTCGACATCGTTCGTGAATCTCATTGGATAATTCGCTGATTGGTAGTTAGTGGTGTCGAAAGTTTAACTTCGCCCTAATATGGAATTACTTAATACCACAGTGCCCAAGTTTTACACATATATTAATATGATTAAATAAGCTGATGAAAAACCATCATTTAGAATGAAAATAATTTCTATACTGAAGAATAATTGTTACAGCTGATATTGAACTCTGAGTTCAACTTGCTCTTCCTTATTAACGCTCAGCAGTATGATATCGCTAAACTGTCCAATACCAGACACAATATAGTAGTATACTGAGGGGTCACTTTAATTTACTGATAGCATTCAAAAGCTAACTAAACCATAAATGACTAATCGGAAATACGCAAAAGTTGAGGAAAACATGTACACAGTGGTAGAAATATCACTGTAAGAAAAAAACTCAGTTGTAATAAGAAAGAAAAAGAATGATCTCGTTGAATAGCACTCATAATAACGCCATCAGAATAATATCTGCATATTTACCAAAAGTTATGTGTACTAAGCACCAGTGTGCTTTCTCTTACTATTCAACTACTGAATAGTTATTAGAGATAGAAGGTTTCAAGATGCTAAGTACTATATGTACAAAATATGCTGAATAAATTACCAATTACAAGCTTAGAGTAGATGGGATAAGCAACACCGAAAACTAGCTAGAATCGCAAATAAAGTCATTATAGATTACGAATACAAGGTATAAACCCATAGAAAAAATAACGTTCCAAGAAAGAAGCTGTAAACTGCCTACACTGAACAAAACAAAACAAAACAGCAAGACTCAGAGCATCATATCACTGAACTAAGAAAAGCTACTTCTCAAATAAACGATAGATGGGAATCAGTTGACGATGAGTTAAGACAAGCAAATATTTAGTTTTTTTTAAAAAGATACATGCAAAAATATGGTTAAAGAAATCACCTGTTAAAAAATATTTTAGCATTAAAATGCCTTCGTAAGCAGAGCTATTTAAATGATTTACAAGTACCATTGAATTTTCCGCCATCTAGCCCATGTATATTTAGAAAACTACAATGAATTCTGAAAAGCATAGGCACATTAGTGTTAGTAGGAGTGTAGTATTCAGCTCTATTGGGAATACTTCCTTTAAAACAATCATTATTATTTTTTGTGGATATTTGAGTTTTCAGGTGTCGGTTTGCAGGGATTTGGCAGATTTCAAGTGACATCAATAACTGGTTTCAGTTAGGAGTACTAAAAAACTATTCCGTCGTAGTTTGACATAAGGCTGAATTCATAAATCATTGGGTTCTGGTCTCAGTGGCTAAATTGTTAACGGGTTTGGCTTACAGCCTCAATTTCTTCGGTTGCGTCATGGGTTCGTACTCTTGAAGAGTCGCACATTGGGATAGAATAGCCGTCCAGTGAACTTCTTGGGACTAAGCGGTTCTCAAACTAGTGTCAGTTCGTGATCTAAATTGGTATTTAAACCGTGAATATTACGTCGCAAAGCCAAATCATATATATATATATATGATTCAGTGAGGGCTTACGGCGAGTTGTCATCTGAAGTGGTGTCCGTCAAGGATGCCCATTATCCCAATTTCTATTCAAATTCATCATAGATATGTTAATGGACTTAACCCTAACTCACTTCAGCGACTCAGGGATTGACTTGCTACCAGGGAACAATCTCGTTGACTTAGAATATGCAGACGATATAGTTCTTCTAGGCGAGGACGCTAACAAAATGCAGACACGGTTTTCTGAACACCTTGAGCTGCAATCTACGAATGTTTGCCATGCGATTCGCTCCCGCCAAATGCAAGATGATGTTACAGGACTGGACTACACCGACTCCTAGATTAGAAATAGGAAGTGAAGTGGTAGAGCACGTTGATCGCTTCACTTATTTGGGAAGTACCATCAGCCAGTGTCAACGGGTTGATCTCTGACGAAATCTCAGCACGGATACAGAGGGCTAGTTTCGTATATTTCAGTTTACGCCGTCTCTAGCGTATACGAGATATCCGACTATCGACCAAAGGGCGGGTGTACTGCTCATCAGTCCACTCCGTTCTCCTTTATGGCTAGTTGTAAGATCTGGCCATTGAGAGTGGAAGAATGATAAGACTGGCTAGCTGTCTTTGATCAGAGATGCCTGCGTTCTATCTCCCGTGTGAAGTGGTATAATAAGGTGAGGAATATTGAGGTTAGGCTTCGATCGAGTGCTAGGTAGGTAGGAGGGGAAATCAATCGACGAGGCTGTGAAATTACATCGACTGAGATGGTTAGGACATGTGTTACGTATCCACGCCTAGTCATCGCCTTCCTCGATTGACGAGCAATGTTAGCTGACATAGGGTCAGGCTGGAAAAGAGCTAGCTAGTGGCGGTCAAACTAAAACATGGCACCAGTCAATGAAATCTACAACAGTTATTTTAAGCCAGCCAGTCACGTAGGAAGGTGTAGACTTCCTGACTGGTTGGGTTGGGGTTCTCGGGACGGTAAAAACCAATTGTTGGAAACTATTGGTGACATGGCTCAAAGTGATCGTTGTCAATGGCTGGCGCAGATGCATCCACTCCTTGTGACTTATGATTTCCAATGAAACTTCGTTATTACTATTCCTTTCTCTTACACCTCTGTTTACTGTCTCTAATATGCACTTCTCCTTTCTTCTCTTGGTTTCTGTGCTACATGGAGTGTGGAGACTTGAACTGCTGCACATATGTGCAAAGTTCTATGTCGAAAACAGGCGGATATATATAGATTGATATCAGTTAGAACCACTGGAAACAAGGGAGTACTGAACATCTGCTTCGTCCTAGTTCGGGACTCTTCGTCAGCATGCACCCCCAGGATTCTAACCCAGGACCTCCTGGTTACAAAGCAAACCTGTAGACCATTCAGCCTCTGGGATTTGATTTAATGTCCCGTGAATTCCAACTTCTACTAATTAGTGATTTTAGCACGACCACTAGCCGATGGTCCTGAGTTCAAACCCCAGTGGGTTCGTACTGCCTAAGAGTCCCAAACTAGGACAAAACAGCTGTTCAGTACTCTCTGATTTGTAATGGTTATCTAATTAATATCAATCAATGATCAAACCTATAAATTAATCACTGAATATATATATATATATATAATATGAAAATACATGCATTTCACAAATATGTAGTGAATATTACTTACCAAATTAGACGTCAATACATTGACACAATCATTTCCTCCTATGATATTCGACAAATGATTACGTGTTAACAGATTAGAATAATAACATTTCATATCATTTTCTAATTTATTTTGTTCACATATACTTTTACGTTGTTCAACATAATCTTCATATATATGTACAAGTTGGCCAAACATCATATTTAACCAATAGAATTGACTAGGATAAGCACAAGCAACAATTGGTCCTAAATCCACATGTAAACGTAATTGAAAGTCTGATACATTACTATTATTATATTAGTATTATTATTCATTGAGTTAGAAGGCATCGAATTTATATTAGCTGATCTCATTGAATCATCTGATTGTACAGTTGAAGATGGTGTGAAATTCGGTGTTCCGCTTAGTGCTGAGCCAACACGTAGACTTAATCGTGCTGTATGCTCTGAACCGGACAGAGTTAATAGTTTAGCAGATGAAACCATTGTATCAGCTGTTGGACCACATGTTTTCTGTAAATGAAAAATTAAACCAAAAATATTAAATGTAAATGGTTATAAACTGATATGTACGTGAGTTGTATTCATAAGTCATACGATCCGAAAATTTATTGTAATGTAAAAGTAAACAGATGATAGTCGTTTGACCTATTATTATTACTTACATACATACAGTAGGGAATATATACACGGAAATAATTCAGCTTTTGTATATACTTTGCATAATTGTTAAAACTTTCCACTGTAACAAACAAAAGAGGAAAGAGTATAGCTTGATATCGGAGGTGTTACAACTTTACCACCAACAAGGACCCTAATTCTGATCAACAAGAGTCACCTACAACACTCTCCACATTAAAAGTTAGTGCACATCCTTCACTGACAGAGGAAAGTTTCCCTGTTCGACGACTGTCAGTTTTAGATATCAGCTGCGATTATGAACTGTGGAAGTTTTGCATGCAATGCGATCATTATAAGCAGGTCATGTCAGCTTTGGCTGATGATGCACTCTGCCGAGTAATCGCTGGGTTTGTCTTTGTAATTGAATTTTGGATGAAGGCTTCAGACCTGACAAAATCTTGTCCACCTACGTTAATTCCTTCGTGAGCCGCCAGCAGCAACTTGGTAAGAAAGCTTCGGATTACCTGTACCAACCTTTTCCACACTGCTTAACCTATCATAGATGAGTTTGTCTATGCATGTTTGGCCTAGGGTCTCCTAGCGCACAACTTAAAATGTCACTTGTTACGTACCCTAGTGAAATCTATGTCGGAGACTCTAGAGTTAATCAAGAGATTCGAAAGTGCAGACTATCTCCTTTCGTCAACTGCTAGCTCCATATGCTACTCCTTTCAGCCTGCAGACCAAAGATCACACGTTAGCGCGCACTTCGGTAACTATAACTCTGCGTTTTCCCACAACCTTTCATTACCAGAGACAGAACTCTCAAGTGGAAAATCAAAGATAACACTAAACAGTTAGCAAAAAATAATCTGTGACTGAGGCAAGCCGATCTGGATATGACTGTTTGATTCACTTCATTTAAAAACCAAAGAAGAGTTAATCTTTGGATGTTTCTATACTGACAAATAATTATACTTCAAGAGTAAAAACTAATAACTAATTTGGTCCATATATCATAGTGCACTATGTTAATGTAATCAAAGTACTTCTTGAAAACAGTAAAGCAATAAACGTGAAAATCGTCATCATTAAAAGTACGAGAAGTTGTATCAACACAGTTCAACTTTAGATACTCAAGAGACGCGAACACACTTGTGACCTTTGAAAGAGCAATTGTAATAAATAGTAAATTTCGTCCCCCTAACCATGAGGAGAGAGAAGACAGGAATACGTTGGACCAATAAGAAAACTTTAGAAGATCTGGACTTGGAGGATGATTTATGTTTCATGTAACACAAACTTGAAGATTTACAGGCGTAAACCAACAAGTGGACAACAGAAGCAGCGAAGACAGGACTTCAAGTGAACATAGTGAAAACAGAAGTGATGAGGATAACCAACCATCACCACCAACAACAAAAAGTACCGGTCACTATTAGCGGGAGAAATTTGAACAAGATCACTTCTTCCACTTATTTGGACAGCATCATTTCACCTACTGTCGGCACAGATGAGGATATCAAAAACTGGATGGAAGAAGCGAGACAGACATTGATTACTCTGAAATCAACATGGAAATCTACTGCACTCAACATAAAGAAGAAGATTCAGATTTTCAACATTAATGTCAAGTCAATCAGTGTTTTTATATGCTTCAGAGACTTCGTGCTCATGTTACCAAAACACTTCCAATAGCCTACTGTAGACTTTCATCAACAGATGCTTTCGCAGCATACTGAGGATCAGATGGTCAGCCAGAAAGGATTAGCAGCATGGAACTCTGGCAACCGACTAACCAACCAAGAAATATCTTGAAGAAAATATAGATGGGTCAGACGTACACTGAGACCATTTAGTAACATCACACTCCAGGTCCTCGAGTGGAACCCAAATGGGAAACGACGAGTTGGATGTAAGTCTGAGGAGGGCATAGAGGATATCGTGTGAGAAGGAGATAAGAACACAGGGTAGTCATTATTATTAAACATTATGTATATTTTGGGAAGTTTAAAGCTTGTTGACATGATTCTTCAATAAATCTGAAAACATTCTTGATTATTCAAAGTGACCAGTAAAATCGGGAGTTTTATTTTCAAAAGAATGGATACTGAACAAAGAGTACTCTTTTCGATAACTTCATTATCAGGCTCTACAGTTATATATACATTATAGAGAATAAATGAATCAGTGTTATGAACAACATTAATGCTGTTTAAGTAACATCGAATCAATAATGTCAACAGATTACAGCTCAATAGCATCAACATAAAAATAAGCTGAATGTCAGAAAAATTAGGAGAGATAATATTACAAATTCATGAATTTATAGTATCTACTGAAGGCCAGGGCAGTCGTAGGGGCTCTGCTTGCTTCTTTTGAACACAGATCACTGGTTGTTTGAGGCGAATTGCAACAGCCTCTGCTGTTTGGAGCATGCGGTGCTTCGATGATTTTGGCAATTTACTAGGTACCCGGTAGATTATAGAGAAGGATTCTTCCACGCTGGCTTTGTGGTCGGTTTGTACCCAATGGTCCAACTCATAAAATACAAAACTTGGAATAATTAAGCAGCTCGTATACCCATACATACATGCATACACACGAATGCGAATTGAGCTATGTACACGCCTCAGTTAAAAGCGAGATCATCATTTGCGCTATTACGTCATCTCTATCCACATACAGGTAAAATGTCCACCCTATTGTGCTGATGTGTATCGTTTGATTAACAACACTAACAACAACAGGTTATGCATAGTGATATCAATTTTTGTCTTAAATTACACTTGATGGACGACGATAACAACCACGCGCACAAAAAGTATTTCAGACTTCTACTGGTCGAAATTTCATAACATGATGAAAAATGCTAGACTTTGTTGATGGTAACCAACAAAAATTTCGGTATCATATACACTTACCTACAACTTTCAGTCATTAAATATTGAAATGCATGCTTACATAAATCACAGTTTCATCTCTGCTAATTAAAATGTAATATACAGCGTCAGTGGACAGTTTTACAAACAAACTCCAATTATTTTGAACATGTATATTTAAAGAGTACAGTTAAATATGTAAAATGCAAGAGGGAACACTTATTATACCAGAATGAGTTGATGCATGATGAAGGTAGTTTTAAAGTAGAATATTAAGGGTATAGTAGTTTGCTGAAATCATCAATCATTAGTTAGCTATTTAGAACTCAGTTATCGGGAACAGATTTTTCATCTACTCGGCTTTAAGCCACACTTCAGTACGGATGACACTACCCAGTTAGTTACTCAGGTTGAAGTGAGTGGAGTGGGACTCGAACCCGAGAACCAACAACTGAAAGTTTATTGTGCTTCAACCAATGAATTAAAACCTTGTCATACTACCAGTTGGGTAGTCACATTAAATTTACCACAACAGGTATCAATTGCTGCTTCATAGAGGAAAGAATTTGTAAATATTTGATGAGCTCTATTTAAAGAGAGAGCCACTGTGAGGAGCTTTAGTGTTTGATTGAATTATTCTACACACTTATTGATCAAATATTTTTACCCAACATTAAATGCACAACATCGAAATTGAAATAAGAATGTCAAGACTTCTAGACTTGGCATTGTATGCGGATGACACTGTCACTGACACAATGCAGAGTCTTCTGAACACCTTCAACATAAATCTTTGCATGTCTAGCATGCATCTAACTCCAGTTAAATGTAAAATGATGCTACCAAACTAGACTATATCAGCTCTCAGTTTAATAATAGGAAGTGAAGTGGCTGAGCAAGTTTCATCAGATCCAATGGATTGATTGCTGACGAAATATCAGCTCGGATACAAAAGACCCACGTGACATTTGCCAAAGTACGTCATCTCTGGTGTAGACGTGACATCCAGCTATCGATAAGAAGACGTGTGTACTGCGAAGCAATTCGCCCTGTCCTCCTTTATGCCTATGAGACATAACCATCGGAGGTGGAAGATATGAAAAAGCTAGTTATATTTGATCACATTCTACTTCCCATGTTCAGTGGCATAATATAGTGAGCAGTATTGAGCTTGGGCGTAAAGTATTAGGTAAGGGAAGAGATGTCGATTGATATGCCTACGGCACGTTTTGAGCAAGTCGACCCACCACGTTCCTTGTCGAGCGATGTTAACTGGCATAGGGTTGGGTTAGAAAAGAGTTAGGAGTGGTTAAACCAAAATATACATCGATCCATGAAGTCTTGTTTGAGCCAGTCACGTAAGGAGGTGTGTAGGCTGACTAGTTGGGGTCCACGGGATACTAAGAGTCAATGCCTTGAGACTGTTGGTGATGTGGCTCAAAATCTTTATCTTTGGCGCAGATGCATTCACTATTTGCAATCTACTACGTCCATTAACTCTTCACATTTCTAAATGTGATTATTCTTTCTCGCGTGCAAATTTATTTCACTATGATTCTTCAGAATTTTTTTTCTCCTTTTTTCTGTTACATGGAGTATGGCCACTTGAACTGATGCACTTCTGCGCGGGGTCCTATGTTGGAACTCAGTCAGTCAGACATAAGGATACGACTAATATTAAAAGTGTTTCTCAAAAGGACACAGGCGAATTCTTCAACACAGTAAAAAAACCAAACTAATGCATACAAATGCACACGGTTAATTATATGCGATGCTACCAGAAATACCACACGCAGATATTAATCCCTTATAAAAACATCTTATATGTAGAGCATTGATAACTAAAATATGACTAGAATCAACACTCTATTTAAGATGGACCTGTCTACCTAAATTAATTTAAAGCTTAGACAAGTTTTGTTGTGTTTATTCCTATCCTATTTACTATAAACAATGATTGGTCGTGTAATACAACATAAAATAACAATAATCAAATTGCTTATTGAACAATGAAAATTCACTGCCTAGTCCTCTATACATTGTAAGCTGATCTCTCTTGTTAAATAAAGCACCGAAAGTCAATAATTGAAATATTCATCTTTCTCTAAATTAAAAAAAAAAACTTTGGTTTATTCTACACAAATATGCACATACATATACATATAGATGGATAAAAGCATTGTAGAATACAATTCCAACGAGACTAACATTCTATTCCTACATTAACGCTTAATAACAAGAAGACAAGGGAAATAATGACCAATTCAGTGTCAAATGTCTGGTTACCAGAAGTGATACAGCGTAACATAAAAATACAATTCATTTAACTGTAACTTGAGGGCTTGACTTTCAACCAAACGATGGTCACAGGTTCGAATCCTACTCAACCTACTTCTACCTTAGTACCTAAGTGGTAACGTTCGCTCAGATAATAAATACACCTTCATTCGTTTTTAGATGAATTGGCATTACTCGCTGACTGATTATTTTAGACCGAAATGCCCCACCTCTGTTGAGATGTCAGTGCTACTAGTCGACATAACGCTTCGGCGTTTGAAAAGGTGGGCGCAGGGTTCAAGCCGTAATGGGGGCACCACCATCTGTCACTGGAGATGCATGTACACCTATCTGAGGAGTCTCAGGCAAGATGAAATGCGTATCATCATTCATCATAATTAAAAATGCACCCTCTTCACCATTTTCGTCAAGGCTAAAATCACAACTTTAATCTAACAGATAAACTTATTCATTAATTTATTTTTAAAGAAGTGAGATGATGACCTGACTAGTAGCTAGGGTCCCGTAGCTCAGATGATAGAAGAGAACCGGACTAGTAATTTGCAGACCGCTGGTTTGAATTCTGACACGATCCAGACTTCGATTTTACCTTTAGATCATCACGCATTATATCAGTCGCAATATCTGCCAAGTTAGGGCTATCTCAGATATTCTCACCAACATTTATAATATATCACTTCAATTCCAAAACATCGGCCTTAGATTAATGTTTAAATACAGATTAAACAGATTTGAAATTAACATTTATCTGTTTGAATGACTCCTTCAAATTAGCCATTACACCACCTAATGGAGTGGTTATGAGGCAATAGGTATCTCAGAAGGTTGAGTTGAAAAGAATTTTATAGCTAGTTTGTTGATGTAGTCAGATAGTCGCCTGAAGTGGAATTTGACGATAATAATAGTAATAATAACCTTTTTCATGCCTTTGAATTCCTCATAGAATGTAGGGCTTTAAGCTTCAAATTCTCAGCAACGGCAGTGGCGTTGTTTATTTCACGGACGGCGTGGGGAGGCTGTTAGCCTTCTGCTAAACCTTCTCTCTTTTTCAGGCTTGCTACCGGCTAAGTCAACTAGGCGAGGTTTATGAGTGAGTCGATCAGGAATCGAATCCGGACATGTGTGTGTGTGTAAGGTTGGCGAGCATTCAACCGGTGAACTGCCGACGTAAAAAATAATATATTTTGAAAACAGGCAGATAAAAGTGTCATATATATATATATATATATATATATACTCTACACAACAATTCATCAGGGAAACGGGTGGGAGAAGACAAATCATCAGTGAGACAATCTCGGAAAAAAATGGCACTATAATTAGCTCACAGGATAGACGACTGGATCGTTGGAAAGAGCATTATGAGGAGCAGTTTAATTTGCCCACAGCCACGCTCAACCTTCCGAGCATCCAACACCTCCCTGAATGGGATATAAACACAGGTCCTCCGTCACTAACTGAGGTTACTAAAGCTGTCACCAATCTGAAACTAGGCAAAGCAGCGGGACCTGATGGAATGACTCCAGAGGTATTTAAGTACGGTGGAGACAGCTTACTGTCCGGATTAACTGAGGTACTAGGCAGCGTCTGGGAATCAGAAGAAGTCCCATCGGGTTGGTGTAAGTCACTGATTATCCCCATATACAAGAAGGGAGACAAGTCTTCCTGTGATAATCACAGAGGGATTAGCTTGACTAATATAGTATCTAAAGTCTTAGGCTCAATAATCATGCGTAGACTGAGTGGTGCTCGGGAAGCACAAACACGAGAGAGCCAGGCAGGCTTTAGACCAGGAAGAGGGTGTATTGATCATATCTTCACCCTCCGACAGATTCTAGAACATAGGCATTCCTACCGGCGTCCAACAGTCATTATATTTCTTGACCTAAAGGCAGCATTCGACTCTGTCGATCGGGAAGTTCTCTGGAGATGCTTGGCTGTAAAGGGAATTCCAAGAAAATATATTGCACTGATTAAGGCACTCTACTCGTACTCATACAGCCAGGTGAGGGCTTACGGCGAGCTGTCATCTGAACTGATGACGACCAGTGGTGTCCGTCAAGGATGCCCATTATCTCCTTTTCTATTCAACTTCATCATAGATGTGTTAATGGACTTAACCCTAGGTGACTTCAGCGACTCAGGGATTGACTTGCTACCGGGGAATAATCTCGTTGACTTGGAATATGCAGACGATATAGTCCTTCTAGGCGAAGACGCTGACGAAATGCAGAGTCTTCTAAACACCTTGAGCCGCAATCTACGAATGTTTGGCATGCGATTCGCTCCCGCCAAATGCAAGATGATGTTACAGGACTGGACTACATCGACACCTAGTTTAAAAATAGGAAGTGAAGTGGTAGAGCACGTTGACCGCTTCACTTATTTGGGAAGTACCATCAGCCTCAACGGGTTGATCTCTGACGAAATCTCAGCACGAATACAAGGGGCTCGTTTCGCATTTGTTAGTTTACGCCGACTCTGGCGTAGACGAGATGTTCGACTATCGACCAAAGGGCGGGTGTACTGCTCATCAGTCCGCTCCGTCCTCCTTTATGGTTGTGAGACCTGGCCACTGAGAGTGGAAGACATGAAAAGACTAGCTGTCTTTGATCATAGGTGCCTGCGTTCTATTTCCCGTGTAAAGTGGCATAATAAGGTGAGCAACATGGAGGTTAGGCGTAGAGTTCTAGGTAAACAGGGGAAATCAATCGACGAAGTCGTGAAGCTACAAAGACTGAGATGGTTAGGACATGTGTTACGTATGCCAAGCCATCGCCTCCCTCGACGAGCAATGTTAGCGGATATAGGGTCAGGCTGGAAAAAAGCTAGCGGCGGTCAAACAAAAACTTGGCACCAGTCAATGAAATCCACAACAGTTGGTCTAAGCCACGTAGAAAGGTGTAGACTTCCAGGCTGGGGTCCTCGGGACGGTAAAAATCTATGGTTGGAAACAATTGGTGACATGGCTCAAAATCGTTCTCAGTGGCGCAGATGCATCCACTCCTTGTGACTTATGATCTTCAATGAAACTGTTTTGTATTTCTTTATTACTCCTTTGTCTCACACCTCTGCTCACTGTTTCTATTATGCTTTTCTTGTACTTTCTTCTCTTGCTTCGCGTGCTACACGGAATGTGGCGACTTGAACTTCCGCACATTTGTGCAAAGTTCTATGTCGAAAACAGACAGACAGACACAACTCCTTATGTTTCCATCAGCTTTTGCTACTACCTGCTTGATTTTGCGTCATTGATGGTTCAGCGGTAGAACCCTCGCCAACCATGCGCGTGGTCCGAGGTTCGGTCTTTGCCCGAAACACTCTTAAGCCTTACTAAGCCGGTAATAAGTCCGATAAATAGGAAAGGTTGGGTGGGAGACTAGCAACCCCATCCTGTAAAAATAAACACCACTCCTACCGAAACTTCAAAGCTGTAGCCTAAAACCCTATGTTCCAGTGGGAACATAATGGGATAAAAAAGCCGCTTGGTTTTACAATCTGTAATAAACGAAGAGAACTTAAACATAGTTTAATGTAATAAAAAAGACATGAATGATAAAATTCAAGAGTTCACAGAATAGCAGTGGTAGAAATTCGTTAGTCAATTTTGGTGTGAATAAATGTTACCGACTCACTCGTTGACCTTCTCATTACCCATTCCATGTGACTACTATATAGTCTTCATAGATGAGATAATTTACTCAATAGTCTTGAATGATCAGTTGTTGTTGTTTTTTTATCAACGGAGGTAACCTGTGCTTTGATAATGAATTCCGAAGCCAATCCTGAAGTTTATCTTAGTCACTTGTTTCAACTATGACTTAGTGCATAAAAGCATACTGTTTCTAGTTTACAGTAGGTTATCAAACTTCCTTATCCTGTTGAGTTCTCTTTAGTATACCCAGACCACATAAGAAAATGCACAATGTCCATTATCACTACTGATATAGCTCTTTTGGATGCTAACATAAAGTGAGTGAAGGTCAGGTAGTCTACGTAATCAAGTAGTAGTAATGAGGAGTTAAAATGCAATGCACTCAGAATAAGATTTCGGTTTCCGACAGTAACGTCAAATCAATTCTCCTATATGGTTCAGAGACTTGCCAACCACGTTACCAAAAACATTTACAACAGATGGCTTCGTCGCCTCGATAATAAAGATCAGATGACTGGTCGGAAAAGAAAAGCAACAAAGTGCTTTGGTAAAGAATCAACCAAGAATCTATTAACCCAAAAAATATACCGAAGGAGACCGAGATAGACAGGACATACGCTGAGAAAACTTTTGAATGAAATCACGTGTCAGGTCGTATATAAGAACTCAAATAAGAAACGACGAACTGGGTGTGGGTTCGAGTGTGACATGGAAGAGATTGTGTGAAGAGGAGGTGAAAGCTTATGGGTGACAATGGAGCTAGTTAAGAAGGAATGCAGAAAACACGGTGAAATGCAGAAGTGCTATTGAAGCCCTATGTTTTACTCGGTAGAATAACAATACTAATGATACACGTGGTACATAAAGATAACCAGTGAAACAAAGATACCATATAGTAACTTGGTTGTCACAGCTTCAAAACCATCCAATAAATATTTCGATTTATATGGGATCATCTTTTCCACTACAGAACGGGAGTAGATGATACAATATTTTAGGAACATAGGATGATTTATAGAAATTGATTTTTATTTATTTCAAACTCACTTTGTTAGAAAGAGGTGAACACGAAGATTCACTTGGATCTGGTGAACTAGATAAACTGGAACGTGTTTTTACTTGACTAGATGTAGTACTCCATAAATCCCAAAATAGATTAACTTCTTCGACATGAATAATTTTATGCAACATAGTTGATAAACTTCCTAATGGTGTTGAAGTTGTAGTAGGCGACGGTGACGCTGATGATGATGAGGCTGAGTTCTTCCCAGTAGCTAATAATAATAATAATAAATAAACAGAAAACCAATTGAGTCATTTTTGAAAATAATGTAAAAATTATTCTTACTTAATCTCGAACCTTCAGTGAAGACTTTCAATGACCCAAAACAATTTACTTACAAACATAGTAGATGCTGTTTAGACTAAGATGCTAAATATGTTCATTCTACCTTGGTAGGCTACACATCTACCTTTGACTGTGTGTATCTAGACCTCTTTTGTTAAACAAGCTTGTTATGACACAGATAGGATGGTCGCGCTGTATATCCAGAATTGGCAAAATTTAGAATCGTCGGGTCATCGATTTCCGTTCTGGCAGCTGAATGATCAACGAACCTGCCTCTAGAACTGAAGTCAGTTCGCCATCAAACTTGAAATCAATGAAATCCTTACAAACCAGCAATCGAAAGTGATATACTCAGAAGAAGAGGAATTTGTACAGTACGCTGTAAGGGTTTTCAAGGTGTGGTATCCAACACGTTGGATAGAATTATCCTAATGTATTTTGAGTGATTTTGTTAACATACCGGCTAGAGTTAGTCACTGTAAGCAATTTGTCATGCTAAACAGCACTGTATGGTTATTCCCGATCTCAGGAAAAAACAACATGAAAAGGGGTTGAAGGCATGATGCAGCTCTGCATTCGATTGGCAGTTTACTATAGGTTAATCACCCACCCAATTGACCATTTTCGCTTCAAATTCGCAACTTACACAGCTCAACATCAGATTACACTACAGCTTCTTTTGGAAACCGAAATTATTTCGATCTGTTTGATATTATAAACGCCAAAGAAGAAATCAAGTATAAGTGCATAAAACTATATAGTACTCATTGATTGATATGAGTAGTTGGATAGTATCCACCCCAATCGGTAGTACTTGGCGGCCAGTTAGATCAAGGTAACCTAAACATCACCGGAGGGCCATTTCATTTGTCTGGGGCCGAGTTCATCAGCGGTTTACTCAATATGACTCGGCTTAGAGAACTGAATCCATTCAAATCACCCGATTTCTGGCTAGGCTACTACCCCATATTTGTTTCATATAATCATTAAGCTTACATTATATATATATATATATATATATTCTATTAGATGCTTGGAGGCAATCGAAAGGAAGTCTTGGACCTAGGTTTCGTGCTAGTTGGCACTCGTCAGCAAGGCGTATCTGCAACCTTGAAGGAACTCATGCCCCTTCTGAGATTCGAACCCGAGTCACGCAGTGCTGCAGTCAGAGACGTTACCACTGAGCTATTTGAACTCGCGATTGGCCTCCTGGAGGACTGTAGTGGATATTTTGATTTGACACTAATAACTAGTGTGATGTGTCTAGTCCTCCATTCAGTCTGCACCAATGAGAAGACTAGACACATCACACTAGTTACTAGTGTCAAATCAAAAAATATATATATTCTTTTATCCAACTCTAAGCGTGATCACTTTTGGTGTATGCTGACATTTCTGGATGAATTTAGAAAACAAAGTAACACAAACGTCGTCTCAGTTCTCTCATAATCAATAAACAAGTATAGCAGTATTAAATGATTATTTGAAGTAACATGATATTTGATAAAAAATTGAAGGTAACACAAAGTTTATAGATGATTTTTAAAAAATAAAAATTACCCTTTGAACTCCTAAAACAACTTATGAATAAATGATAAGATAATTAAGACGGATCGGAATACTACTACTACTACTTGTCATGTTTTTGGCATTGAGATAAGATGTTTAGTGGTAATATTATAGCATGGATAACAGTTTTACTCTAGAATAATTAGAAAATTGACGAGTGAGAAATAAAAGGAGGATAAAAAAAGCGCTATATTAGTATATTAATTCAGTTCTCTGTTTGGTTTTGACTCTTCGGAGCAGTGTACTGAGAAGACATCAACAGTAAGAAGCAGATATCAGAATAAAATGGGGGGGGGCGGTGGAGGGAAAGCATAAATTGGTGTAGAATAATACAATATGGACACAAAAGGCGTAAAATTTTACGTCTACTTTTCCATCTAATTTTTCGGTCAGTAGAGACCAACCGACTGAGTGACCGAGTTTCAACATAGAACTTTGAACAGAAATGCAACAGTTCCCGTTGCCACACTCCATGTAGCATACGAAGGTAAAGGAAGGAGATTCGAAAGAACTTTAATGAGTAAAAATGTGCGGAAGAAAAATAAAGTGGAAAAACATGACTGTTTAATGGATATGACAGATCACAAAGAGTAAATGCATCTACGCTACGGATAAAGATTTTGAGCCATATCATTACCAATTTCCATCTATTGGTCATTCATGTCTCCAGGAGCACAATCAGGCAGTCTTCACCTCCCTACGTGGCTCAAAACAACAGTCACAGACTTAATGGACTGATGTGACCACGGTGTGACCACCTCTAACACTATTCCTACGTTGGCTAACATTTGTTGACGAGGAAGGCAGTGGTTTGGCATACACAACACGTCTTCTAGCCATCTCAATCAGTTAAGCTTTACAACATAATTAACTGGCTCCTCCTTATTGCTTAACACTCTACGAGTAACCTTTGTAGTTCAATGGATAAAGTGTTCAATTTTCAACCAACAGTTCGAATCCCGTTCCATCCTCAGAGATTTGGACAGTCAAGTAGAGTACCCAAAATTCTCATTCCCAAAAGTGTGGTTGACTGTCAGTCAGTAAAATATGATTGTTGCAACTTTAATTTCCAGTTACATGATTTACCTACAACTTGAAGAAGGTCATAATGGAAAAAATAATTTTTCTCTTGAAAAATTATATTCTAGAACTTTACAATTCCTTCGTAAGGAATTGGTTTAAAATTACACGGAGTTATAAATTCACAGAATATGAAGGATTTTATCAGTGTAGCGTTGAGGTTAGGTGTCGAGAGGTAGGTAAGGAGGGAAAATCAATAGATGAAGCCGTGAATGTACATAGATTGAGATGGTTAGGACATATGTTGCGTATGCCCAGCTATCTCCTTCCTCGACCGACTGGCAATGTTCGCTGACATAGGATAGATGAGGTTGGAAAAGAGCCAGTGGTGGTCAAACCAAAACATGAAATACACAATAGTTAGTCCAAACCAGCCAGTCACGTAGGGAGGTGTAGACCTCCTGACTGGCTGGAGACCTCGGGACAATAAAAACCAATGGCTAGAGACAATTGGTGATATGGCTCAAAATCGTTCTCTATGATGGCGGAGATGCATCCAATCATTGTGACTTATAATATCCAATAAAATTCAATTGTTCTTCCACATTACTATTCTTTTGGTCTCACATCTCTGTTTATTATTCCTCTCTTGAATCTCTCTTCACTCTCTTTTGTTTACAGATCCCCAAAAAAAAAATTCCTTCTCTTGGTTTGTGTGCTACATGGAGTGTGGCAACTCAAGCTGCTGCACATTGGTGCAAAGTTCTACGTCGAAACCAGCCAGTAAGTCAGCCTTGAAACTGCAATTAGATTTTCGAACTATTTGATTTTTAGAAAATCGCTGAAACACATCTAATCGCTCCAGCCTTTTCAATAAAAATTTAGCTTATATCTAGGCGGTTTTCAGGGGACTGACTACGATCCTGTTGTATGCCAATCCAGTGACTGAATCATAGAGTAACTGATACGAAATCTAAAGATCTTAGGTTTGATCTAAAATGAGCATCGATGACGAATACCAAATTAAGGTGAAATAGTTGTACATGGTTCATTGATTTTCAATGGTTGTCTAGCTGATGTCAATTTGTGACAGAGTTCAAAATAAAAATCTGAATGTACAAAGTCATGCAATCGTAAAGACGATTAGTACTACCACATTGAGCGATCCAGTCATTCAAGAGATTTGAATATCAGATATCAGCAGCAGTGATATGTTATAGCATCACTGATAGGCAAAACCGTGACTTTAATTGGAGCAATATGGAAATACTACAACATTCAGAAATGAAAAATTTCCGCAGAATTACAGGAAGTAGGAACAAGAGATACCTAAAAATAAAGCCCATTACACGGAGTACCAAAAGGAAATTAACTACATAACCCACTATTGATGACTCAGACTCAAGTGTCCAGTCTACAACAAATTTAACATTCAGGCAACAATTCAAAGTCAAATATGTCAAAATATGAAAAAATACATCATCTACAATCAAATAAAGCTGAAGATTGGAAAATGTTCCAAGTGGATGTTTAGTTTCTAAATGAACTAGATGCTGAGAAAGTCACCTAGGTGTGTGATAAAACATCCACCGTTAAATTTCGAAGCAAAGATAATAACAAATAGTTGTCGTCCTTATTTCGAGCAACAGATCATTCGCAAATATTGCTAAAATCGCTTTTAAGTAAATCTAGTTAGTAAATGAAGTGGTTAAATTCTTTTAGACACAAAAACCTAGGACGGAATTCACTACACTACTTTATTTACCACTATGAACTACAGAGTAAAAATATTATGATGAAGGAAGACAATCATATAAAACTAAGGAATTTCACACAGATGTTCCTTTTTGATGTAAAAACTGGAATATATAGTCAAAATAATTATAATCATTATCATAAGTCCCCTTGAAACACCATCCATTTATGGTGAAGATGCTAAATGAATAGTGGTATTAAGGCTTAGACAAAGTATCAACTTGAGCCGACTGCAGATATTTGTTACATATACTGAGACAATGTCTAAGCTGACAAATAATTCTGGCTATAGCACGACTGACTTGAAAATAAAAATCAAATGAGCTGGACTAAGGTGTAATAACAATCCATACAGTTCCTAACAGTCTGTTCTAACTCATTTGGACTGGGATACTATAAGCTATTGTACATTATATATGGATTACCACATAATACCAAATGACACTAGATAAATGACGGTGATCAATGTCTTGCAAATGATATATATATATATATAATCCTAAATGTATTAATGGAAAACAATCGTATTGTGCTTATTAGTTAAGTGTAGGCGATTAAACTTTGTACACTCATCTAAAACTTTTAAAGTTATTTTTACACCTTTAACTAAACTTACTTTATTTTTTTATTGTGTAACGATTAATGGGTAAAATACACAACCCAAGCAGAAAATGATTGGGTAGCGAGAAATTAACACTTTTATAAGAAAAACATCATAATATGAAGAGCAAAAGCCTTATTTTAAAGCAGGATTCATCGTTCAACAATTCGCCTCATATGTGAAACTATAAATTAAGTGGTGGGGTATAGATTCGAAACCTCTTCCAAGCATTACGGTTTGGGAAGTCAGAGAGTGACACATTTATGTGAACTCGACAACATAGAGGATAGCCTCTGGTTCAGTATCTAACAGAATACCAAGTGGAAAATATTAAAATTTTGAGCATGTGCATGGTATGAGTTCTGATATTTATTGCGTGAATACGATATAAATAATAAACAACTCACTATTTGTATTGTTTGAACCTTGCCACCACCATAACCACGACCAACGACCACCAGTTGCTTGTGAAGGAGGCGGTTGTCTGTCCTCTGTTTTATACTGATTTGATATTGATAAGTGTTTAATGGATAGTGTTAATCCAGAAGCACGATCAAGCCCTGGTAGTCTTAGCTCACATTCAACACGAATACTAACATCGCGTAGGACAATGCTAGTCTGTGCAATCACTGGAAAACATAAAGAGTAAAAGCAAAACATGACGAACAAATGATAATAAATGAAGTATAGAGCAATAATAAAACCTGACTTAAACAATTATTCATTAAAACAAGTTGATAGTATCATACATTACTGAATATAACCTTTTCGGTGAGGAATACCTGTAATTCCTTAGAACTAGTGCCCTCTGGATCTAGGTTTTTATTTACAAAGGACTCCTTTACTATCACACTTTATCATCAGAGCATTTCGATAGCAATTAAGTAGCATTAATGAGAGAATATGAAACACATTTAATTTGGAAACACTGATGTAGTCTAGGAAGTCAATGGACAATTTCACTGGAAACCAAGTTGAAGTTTGCACAGTTGAAATCGGGAATATTCACTATCGTGTGATAATTTAGAAGAGAAAGATAAGTAAGAATTGTAAGATCAAATTAAAAGGTTTAAAAGTGTGACGATATGAATGAACGATACTAATTCTGTAATGTTCTTATTGATATTCCCAAAAGGCGTAAATACGCAGACCAGCTCAACAACTTTCGATCACTTGTAATTTACCTATATTAACTCCAAAAATTCACTCGAAAATCCTGGTGGTGTATGTGCTTGAGGGAAATAACAGATAAGAAATGATGACAGCTTATAACCAGGTAGAAGACTTACATGAATCAATCATATGTGCAATTCTCTGTTTACTGTCTTGATCAACATACGAACTTGCACCTTTTGTACCGATACTCATTGTCTCGGCGGCAACTGTAAGATTTTCGAAGAACTTGTATGCTTGCTCTTGCAGGCCTTTTGGAATTTTATCTTTGTCTGTAGACTCAACATTTGCACCTTCTTCTGATGTTTGGACAAAGCCCTCCTCGAAAAGATTTGTAGGAATTGTAGAACTGTTTGCAGCCTTAGCAACGGCGAAGGCTGCAGTTGTTACACTAGATATCATTGAATTAAACAGTTCATCGGCTGAAATATGAAAATGGAATAGTAAGTTCTTTGGTGAAGTGTTTATAATCATGCACAGGGTACTGAAAAATAAAATATCACTCTAACGACACAAAGGCGGCTAAACCTGCATTATCATACGAACTTCCACCGCATACAGAATGTGTCTGACAACAACACTGGCTTTGGTGACAAGATAAAGCTACTCAACTGTCACTGACATGAATATACGACACTTAACCAAGGTGGCCTGGAGGTACAATTCAAGCTGTATTGCAGACTTCAGAAATGTATCGTGCATTAAGGTACGGTGGACACTGTTCAAAAGTTCTAAAGTTCCAGTGGATATGTACCAACGTATTAGCGCGGCGGTATTGCCATAAATCTTGAGGCCTGGAATGCTTACATGGATTATGAGTGAATGGCTAATCTCCAGAGATGAACATATAGATATTTGGTCGTTTTCAATAACCTCGCACTAAGTTATCTATAGTTTCAAACTTGGTTTGTGATGGTTAAGGAGAGAGAATACCATGATTACCCAAATATATTAGGGTTTATGTTTGTTCGATTCTTCTGCATTGGTTCTACATAGTTTTGTGATGATTAATGGTATTTTTTTGAATATACAAGATATTTAGACTAAGATATCGGAAACTCTAGTAAGCCTCTTTAGCAATAAACTTGATGATTCTTTTAATGGCTTCGATCGACAGTTTAAATTATTCTGCGTAACATTTGGAAAGCCGTGAAGTATTCACGATACACTGAGAGAAGAAATACAGGCAAAATGACTGGTGACTGCCTTACCTGTACCACTGAGTCGAAATTTCAAAATTGACAAAGTAGTTCAGTAGGCAGAAAACAAGTGTGCTATGCACATAAGACGCGACAGTTTACTATGTTAAAGAATTGATTAGAGCCTACAACGATGTGAATTGTACGTAAGCAATAAGTCTTTTAACAACATCTTGTGCTGATGTTCCCAATAAATCCTACATTCTCGTTTTTATATTTCCTTTTGAATCAACGCACAATAAGCAATCCAAACTTTTCGCACAATACCTTTGAAAAAAGTTTACTCAATGGAGAAAATCTTCTACAGAATGAAAAGCTGTCTAGTGGACTAGCTATAAGAATGTGAAGTGGTTAGTCAAACATTACATCAATAGTTTACATCTTCCTCCACTGCTTAGAACGCAAGATACATCAATGACGAACATAATGTTTAAATCCTAGTAAAAAAAAGCTCTGATTTGTGGGATTAGCTGTTTCTTACGAATAACTAACCCGTCACTAACTACCAACCATATTAAACTGTAGAGAAAGCATGAAATAAGTCGGTTACAATAAAATTCAATTACCTCGAAGCAAAATATTGTTTAAAAGAAGAGGGGGAAAACAGGTAAAAATGCTTACTTCCAGATGGTGTGGAGACCTCTGAAATTGCTTGAACCACAAAATCTATCCCATTAATTTCAACACTCCATGGGAGACAGATGATTACTTCAGATATGTAAGCGACACAAACGACGAGAGGAATTCCGCTTTCAGATAGCAAGGCATTTAGTTTCTACCATATAGATTTATTAGATTAGTTTATCTTACGTCGATATTAAAGTAAATATCTTTACAGCCAATACCGTTTGAGGTTATTAGTATCTGATCATCTTCTAACGGTTGAGAAAGAAACTGTCCAAACGAAAAGTTCAAGAACAGCTTGACAGGCTTCTTTGCCAGTCCCCAAGGAGGCATCACATCACAAAATAATTTCGAATGTACCTCTTAAAGTCACCTGATTGGTAATTTTATAAGTCGCTCTCTTTACATTCAATATTCAGTGAGTGTAAAGATTCAGATTAAGATTATAAGGATGGTAGGCTCTTGTGGCTTGTGTTAATCCCTGTAAAATATATTTAACTTGTTTTTGAAAGCTTTCACTGATGGGCTGTTACTAATGTATCGAGTAAGGAGTTCCCAGTCGGTGGTCACTCTGGGAGAGAATCCACACACATTTTATTCGACCTTGGTTTAAGCACGTACTTGAGGTGACCTAGTAAATGTATCCTTTATGGAGGGAGTAGACATGAGAGGTCAATCCGTAAATCACCCATTAATATACGGTATGCCGAAATTAGGCCGCCTCTCCTCCTTCGGTATGAAAATGGGAAGAGATTTAAATGCTCCATCCTCTTGTCTAAGCAAAGTGTGAGCCCAAATTTTGCAGGCTGACCATAGATATCAGATGTGCGTCGGCAAGGGATCGAACCTTGGACCATGTGCATGGTCGGCGAGAGTCCTAACCACTATGCCACCCACGCACACTAGACAGTGGTTTGAGAACCACTATGTCCTCCACCACAATTGGGGGCATTCTAGTGGCTACAGCAGTAACCCCCCTTTACCCTTGAGTGGTATAATCAGGCGAAAAGACGTCACAAAAGTATTTCGAGAGCTCTTAAGCTCTTATTCAGTCTGACTCGGTCGCCTCTCAACTACTGCTTGTGGGTGACGGTGTACCGCCACTAGTTTTAGTATAATGTTTGATATACGAGTACAGTCTCTTTGGATAATGCACACTATCAAGTACTTACCGTCTCTCATGCTCTGTACGACTTTCGTCGATCGTGTACTTACATCCCTCCCAATCACAGTAAACCGGACCCATATGTTCTTTCGTTTTATTAATAACCTCCTTATTTCATCACTAAAAAGTTACCATCAAGGTTGAGCGCCAAGACGAACTTCGTTGCCTTTCTTGCTAATTCAGATTCAGATTGTAAGGAAAGAGTGCTCTTGTCACATGTGTTATCCTTCGTGACATATATTCCTGCAGAGATCCAGTTTCTCTTTGAAAGCTTCACCGATGGGGATTTTCATTCTGAATCAGGTTAGTAGTTCCAGAGTGGTCACGAAGTATAACACATGCGACAAGAGCATTCTTTCCTTATAATCCAAATCTGAATTAGCAAGAAAGGCAACGAAGTTCGTCTTGGCGTTCAACCTTGATGGTACCTTTTGGGAAGGTTATACAATCTACACTTAAAATGTTGTGATATCTTGCACAGTAATCGAACAATTCAAAATTTTGAAAGAGTGCTTATTCACGATACTTCACGATCACAATTTATAACGTAACTGATCGTTCCTGAAAAATGGCATGCATTCCATGTTGTGTTCGTCCAGCGAACAGCGTAAATTTGGCTACTTCAGGAAGAGGAGAATGTCCTGAGAAGCTGCAAAATGGTATGAAATGCAATTATGGATGAAAAACCATTGGGAGTATATTAACAAGATATATACAATGAGGTACAGAGACCTTGGAATAATGGTTTACTTTTGTAATGTTTAAGGCCGGCCTGCAAAATTTGGGCTACCTATATCCATGCTGAAAATTCCATACTTGTACCAAAAATACAGTGTGGTATCAAGCTGTAAGTCAAAATCAAGATAAAAAGATAAATAATTCAAGTTGGTTTATGCGATAGTTTTCGAGGCGTGAACCACGGTACAAAAAATGAAGTGACCCAATCTAGTATATTCCCAAATCCTATCGAAGCTTCCCCAACAGTCTGATATGTATCAACAGACCAGCCAGGAAGGATTGCTGCATATCGGGTTGCAAGTATATTTGCCTTCCAAATGTTTGGACGAGCAGCTGTTGACCTATGTATGGCACCGTGAATCTTAAAATTAAAAGTGATAACTATATGGCCTGTACTTCCTGGTGGCGATAGGCACCTAGTGTCACTCATATTCTCCTTCTGGTGTGTTAGCGCCAAGTCTAGAGTGGACGGATCAGGTTTAGAGTGGTATCATGTTGATGCATGTATATTCTGCACAAGTACGCATTCAAGCACTGTCAGCATGAGTTTCCTGTTGAAACAAGTATACAAGATAATTGATGTCAATTCCTTCCAGTTAATATGTGGGGCATTAAAGTCACCTGCTATTAGGCACTTACTTTTTCTACTTCACACCCTGATTTGATTAAGTATGATCTCGTCGGCTCGGCTTGCAAGACTTCTATATATAACCCCAACTGACTCAGCGCCTTGTTCAACTTAATGACACAACTTGCGGCTACACTGATGCCGCTGTTATGAGCTTCCGACAATATTGATCTGATTCCGGCATCATCCTAGATGTATAGGGCAACCGCCTCTCCGACTTGTTACTCTATATGCCCTAACGCAGATGTACCCAGGTATGAGGGGAGTTAAGTCTACACCCACCAACATCACGTTTCAGTGATGGCAACCTAATCCGGTCCTATTCCTTCAGATAACACTTCTATTTCAGTGAGCCTATTTCTAAGGCCACACGCGTTCATATATCATACTGAAAGACCTAGGTGTTCACTCGACTTATGGACGAACGTTTAGGTACCAAGGGCTTCCTGAACCTAATTACCCTGAAGTCCAACAATTCAAGGCCTTCACTTTTTCCAGTCGCGCCTTTAACTGGGCTACTATTTCTCTTTTAATTCTATCCTCCAGCCGCCAGTCTGGCCTTATTCTTAGCTTTTCGTCCTGTTTTTTAGTACTAACCAATGTAATTAGTTTCTTCCATTTTGCTCTCGCCGCAACTGGAAGCCATGCGTTTGTAGTGTACGTTGAACCTTTGAACTTTTATTTCAGAAAACTCGCCCGCTTTCGGCACTACTTCATCTTTTGATTTGTGACTCTCCTGTGCATACTTGGTTCGCTCTCTCGTTGTGCTTTCACTTAGCGCACACTTCGAGCCTACCACCAGTCAAGATAGCTGATAAGTTGCATAACACCTATATTTATTAAATTTGATATTTCATTTGTGTAAAATACAACTCCGTCTCAGACACACCGCCCATCTCAAGTCTTTACTTTGATTTCGTTCGTCAGTACTTACACGTTAGGTAGAGTATTGCTAAGGTTATAAAGCGGTGACGTTTTCTGTAAGTGTGGTTATTTTGAGGTCTATCTTAAGTCTAGTCTAACACTTACAAGGGGTGAGCACGCGTTTTCACTGTTTGCCTCTATGGTGGCTTAACGCGTTAATAGTTCTTTTTCATATTGACTATTTTGCTTACTTTTCATGTAGTTATAAAAATTTTACTTGTTTGTCCTTATACTTGTTTTTATCACTCTGTTAGTATGTCATCTTGTCCTCATGATGGTCGATAACGGTTCTTCTTCACAGATGGCTATAACCTTGCAACCCTCAACTTACTGGACACATCTTCCGGCTGCATGGTTCAGTCACGCAGAAGCGCTGATCGCCCTCAGACATATATACTCACAAGAAACCAAGGTAAACCTGGTAACTGTGAGTCTCCCCGAGAATGTCATGGAAGAAGTGTCTGATGTTCTCCAGGATCCGTCTCCAGACCTGTATGAACGTCTCAAGCAGGTACTAATTAAGCGCGTTGCACTAAATGACTAACAGAAAGTGCAAGAACTTTTTCGGGGCGGTCAGCTTGGTGACCGAAAGCCCACTCAAATGTCACGACCGATGAAACAGTTAGTCGCTGACTTCAAAACAGATGATGCCCTCTTAAAGTAAGTTTGGCTGCAAAAATTGCCTCAGACGATTCAGGGCATTTTAGCCCCAATCAACAAGTCTCCCTTACCGGAACTATCCAAGGCGGCCGATAGAGCAGTGGAGGCTACTAAATCCAACATGAGCATTTCGGCTGCGATAGCCGATAGTCCCGATGAGACCAAAGATTTTTCTACTGAGAGATCATCAAGCTTCGATGCGGTGGCCCATATAACCAGGCTTCACGAGGAGACATGTAGTATTAGACAGGAGATGGACGCCAGAGGTCGCTCGTGTAGTCGCACAAACGCGCCCCGTAATAGATCCTTTTTACGTGCTGGCAGTAAGCGTCGAAAGTCTCGAAATTCCCAGCCTGCAGTGTGCTGGTATCATCGGCGTTATGGTGCAAAGGCCAAAAGGTTCACTCGCTCATGCACCTTCGATGTTCAAAAGTCGGGAAACTAGTAGGCCAGCAGGTAGTGGCGACCAACGTCACTGGCGAACCACTCCCATATCGCCCCCTCCATGTTACTGACCGTAACACTGGGACACGCTTTCTGGTTGACACTGGGGAGGAAGCTACCGTGATTCCAACAACAGGTGAAGAGCGCCTGCTGCCAACATCCTTACAGCTCCGAGCCGCAAATGGTTCACCTACCACAACGTATGGTGGAAGGTTCCCGGACCTTATAAATGGCTTACATCGATCATTTCGTTGGGCTGTAACGCACAAACCCTCTCTAAGTCCAGTATACCAAACCCCTGCCTCTAATAGCCCTTACGCAGACGTCTTTTGCCAACCTTTTGAAACCGGCTTCCAGGCTTCTATGCGTGACTTCTACTGTCACTCACCATACATGAGGACTGGTCCACCTGTGTTTGCAAAGCCACGGCGATTGTCCTCAGAAAAACTCCAAGCCGTAAAGGCTGAGTCCGAACATATATTAGAGATGGGGATAATCCGTCCACCTAGCAGCCCGTGATCTTCCCCGTTACATGTGGTGCCTACAAATAACGGAATAGACTGGAGGCCTTGTAGGGATTAGCTCAGACTAAACGCGCAGACCGCACCAGATCACCACCCTGTGCCACATGTACGCGACCTGACGTCTCCCCTCAAAGGGGCAACGGTATTCAGCAAACTTGACTTAACAAGAGCTTATCATCAGATCCAGTTCATCCTGAAGATATTCCTAAAACGGCAGTTATCACTCCTTTTGGTTTTTCAGAATTCCTTT